CCTCCCTCCCTCCCTCCCCTCCCTCCCCTAATCCCCCCCCCTCTCCCCGCGCCGCCCCATAGGTGCGCGCTGCTGGCCACTGGCGGCGGCTGGCCTCTTCGCCTCCTCCACCTCCGCGGCCTCCCTCCTGGCCTGCAGCGTGAGCGCCTCCTCCGCCTCCAGCCGCTCCTCCGCGCGCCGCCAGCGCGCGTGGAGGGGCGGAAGGGTGAGGGCCCCCCCTCCTCCTCGCTGCGCCCGTCGTCGAGGAGGGGAAGGGAGGGAGGGAGGGAGGGGGGAGGGGGAGGGGGGGGAGGAGGGGGAGGGGGAGGGGAGGAGGGAGAGGGGGAGGGGGCAAGCTAGGTGCGCTCGTGCCAGATCTGACATCCTGCCCCGCCCGCCGATCCGGCCCCATTGCGCTGTGTGTTGTCCCTCCGCCAACGCGTGTCACAGCGGCCCTGGAACTCCAAAGATGGCCCCATTGTGTGATGCGCGGTCGGGAAAAAAGAGAGCTGCATACATTGGAGGAGGAGGTGGCGGATGAGTAATTAGGAGGATGAACAGGGGGACAAGGAGGATGAATGAGGACGAGGACGAACAGCAGCAGCGGGAGCCAGGAGCTGGAGTGGAAGTGGAAGGAGCGGAAGGAGCAAGAGGACCAGCGGAAGGTGGAGGAGGGGAAATGAGGGGGCGACAACAATGAGAACGGGATCGGATCCGGAAAAGCGGTCCGCGCTGGGGCGAGAGCGCCACTCTGAACGACAGGAGCAACGCCCGGATACGAGAGTGAGGCCAACGGTGCAGCAGGAATCCGATTTTGAAATACCGACAATCGTTCGGAAATGGAAAAAAACAGTACAACAATAGAGCTTGCAATCCCTGTCAATACGCAGCGAGGGCCGAAGATCTCCCAGACAGAGTCGGGGGAGAGAGGGGAATAGTATTCAAGAGATTTAACTGTGGAGGAGGATGGGGAGGAGGAGGAGGAGGAGGAGGAGGAGGAGGAGGAGGAGCAGGAGGAGGAGGGAAGAGGACGCAGGGGGGGGAGGGGAGAACGAGGCCGACGGGAGGGGAGGGAGAAGGCAGGGAGGCAGGAAGGGCGGATGGGGGGACGAGCAGCAGCAGCCGCAACAGGGAGGGGGGGAGGGACCTGTTGTCAAGGAGCGAACGAGGGTTGGCCTCCGAGGTCAGACAGCTCCCGGGCCTGGCGAGAGGTCGCCGTGGGCACCGCTCGGCGTGCCCCCACGACGTCCAAACTGGTGCGCCTCTGCGCTCCAAGCACGGCTCGGCATGGCGGCAGGTGGACCGTCGGGCAGGGCCTCCCAGGTCCCCGGGCTTGGCGTGTTCCGAGCGACCGCTCCGAAGGGGGGGTCGGAGTCCGCGGGCCCGAGGCCTGGGGCAGGAGAGGAGGGGTGGAGGGGGGACGCGGGAGGGAGGGGGAGGGAGCCAGAGAGAGAACTGGGGGGGGGGAAGAGGAGAGCAGAGGACGATTACGAGGATGGTGCAGGAGGGGCAGCAGGAAGGCCGCCACTGCATGGTCCTGTCAAAAGAGCATCCAGTGGGACGACGAGTTGGCATGCAGTTCAAGTGTGAACAAAAAGGTGGTGCAACGTATTCGTAACGAAGGGACCTGAGGATCCTCGAGCTTCAAATCAGCGGATTGCGAGGGAATGCCCCTGCGCCAAACAAATCGCACTTTGTCCACACCCACTAAACCTTCCCTCCCCTTACTCCCTCCTGCTTTCTGTGCTTCCGCCCATGAATAATCCGCCATTCCCTCCCGCAATATTGTCCTCCTGCCTCGTCTCACCCTCCTCCTCCTCCTCCTCCTCCTCCTCCTCCTCCTCCTCCTCCTCCTCCTCGTCCGCCTCCCCGCAAGCCCCTCTTTCCTCCTCCATCCTGTCTCCCTCCCTAGTCAACCCTACCCCCTCTTCTAATTGTGTTGTTTCTCTTTCTCTCTCTCTCTCTCTCTCCTCTTCTCTCTCTACCTCCACCCCCCAGCCCGAGCAGGGAGAGGGGCGTAGAGCGGAGAGAAGGAAATAGGGCAACATGTCAACCGGGGGAGGGAGGGAGGGGGGAGGAGGAGAGGCAGGGCAGGAGATAAGGGGGCGTCTGAGGAAGGCTGTAATGATGAAGAATAGACCTCGCAGCAATGTTCCAAGCCAAGAGCTGGTATGAAGAAGGGGAGGCCAGCCCCCTCGGGCAAGACGCGAAATCCTCCTGAGAGACGCCCCCCCCCACTCGAACCTCCCCTCCGCGATCCTTCTGCTCCTCCTTCTCCTCCTCCTCCTCCTCCTCCTCCTCCTCCTCCTCCTCCTCCTCCTGGCGGCGGGCGGCCGCGTGGGTGCAGCGGGGCCGAGATCGGCGAGGGAGGAGGAGGGGAGGAGGTGCAGGAGCAGGAGGAGGAGGAGGAGGAGGAGGAGGAGGAGGAGGAGGAGGAGGAGGAGGAGAGGAGGAAGAGGGAGGAGAGGAGAGGAGGGAGGAGGAGGAGAGGAGGAGGAGGAGGAACGAAGGAGGAGGAGGAGGAGGACGAGGAGGAGGAGGATGAGAAGTAGGAAGGAGGGAGGACGAGGATGAGGAGGGCGAGGAGGAGGAGGCGGAGTACGAAGGAGGAGGAGGAGGAGGAGGAGGAGGAGGAGGACGAGGAGGAGGAGGAGGAGGAGAAGTAGGGAGGAGGGAGGAGGAGGGACAGGAGGGGGAGGATGAGGAGCAGGAGGGAGGAGGAGGGAGGAGGAAAACTGGTTCAAAACCAAGAGTCACCAACGATGTTGGAACACACCCTCCCACCAAGCTCCCTCTTCATAGGCCCAAACCCGTTTCCACTGAGGGAACTGCCCCGTTGGAACACAACCGTTTGAAGATCCTGAAGCATGCCAAAACGTTCTTCTCGGGATTCCAACGCTACGGATCAACCTGACGGTTGCGTCTTGACAGTCCTGAATCGTGCCAGAACTCCATTCCTAGGGCTTCAACACCGCAAATGAACGTAACTGTTGCACCCTCATAGTCCAGAATCCGTCCAAAACACCATTTCTGGTACGTTGATCCTGGGAATCCGTGGAACTCTTGCGATTTGTCAAAACATTAAAAATTCGCCGGCCCAACGGGCCAGGGCGTGCTAAGATCTCCGGTAACAGGTAAACAATATTTCTAGTTCGCGCGCGCGGGGCGGCCCCTAGGAGTCCCCGGGCGAAAAGTACCCCGGCAGGTCCCCGGGAGGGTGGGGGCAAGAGATGCCGGATTTCCTGGGCGCGGCCCTGGAGGCCTCTGGAGCGCTCCAGGAGCGCTCCAAGGAGACGCCAAATATGTGGCAGGCCCAGCAGCCTGAAGCCAAGAGCGCCCCAAGACGGCCCAGATGGCCTCAAGACGGCCCAAGATGCTCCCAATACGCCCCAAGATGCGTCCAAGAGACCTCCCAAGAGGCCCCCAAGAAGCCAAAATTTATGATTTCCATTGTTTTTTTTAAGGATTTTGGCGTTCTCGCCTCTTCGGCTTCCTAGCGCTCCAAGACGGCCCACAAAGCCCTCAATATCACCCCAATACGGCCTACGAGGGTTCAAGACCGTTCCGAAACGACCCCAGAGGGCCCTAAGAGACCCCCAGAAACCTCCAAGATGGCCCAAGATGCCCCCAAGACGGCTCCAAGACCGGGCCCCGACGGGGGACCGGAACGGACATTTCGCGCTCTAAGCCGCAAGACGTCCCCAGGAGACCTCATAACGCCCCCAAGAGGCCTCAAGACGGCCCAAGATGCTCCCAAGACGCCCCAAGATGCGTCCAAGAGACCTCCCAAGAGGCCCCCAAGAAGACAAAATTTATGATTTCCATTGTTTTTTTGAAGATTTTGGCGTTCTCGCCTCTTCGGCTTCCTAGCGCTCCAAGACGGCCCACAAAGCCCTCAATATCGCCCCAATACGGCCTACGAGGGTTCAAGACCGTTCCGAAACGACCCCAGAGGGCCCTAAGAGACCCCCAGAAACCTCCAAGATGGCCCAAGATGCCCCCAAGACGGCTGCAAGACCGGGCCCCGACGGGGGACCGGAACGGACATTTCGCGCTCTAAGCCGCAATACGTCCCCAGGAGACCTCATAACGCCCCCAAGAGGCCTCAAGACGGCCCAAGATGCTCCCAAGACGCCCCAAGATGCGTCCAAGAGACCTCCCAAGAGGCCCCCACAAGCCAAAATTTATGATTTTCATTGTTTTTTTGAGGATCTTGGCGTTCTCGCCTCTTCGGCTTCCTAGCGCTCCAAGACGGCCCACAAAGCCCTCAATATCGCCCCAATACGGCCTACGAGGGTTCAAGACCGTTCCGAAACGACCCCAGAGAGCCCTATCCCCCAGGAACCTCCAAGATGGCCCAAGATGCCTCCCAGACGGCTCCAAGACCGGGCCCCGACGGGGGACCGGAACGGACATTTCGCGCTCTAAGCCGCAAGACGTCCCCAGGAGACCTCATAACGCCCCCAAGAGGCCCCCGAGAGGCCCCAAGAGGCCCCCAACAGGCCCCAAGAGGCCCCCAGGAGCCCCCAGGAGGCTCTAGAAATACTGCCAAGAGGCCCTCGAGAGGCTTCCCAAGAGACCCCAAACAGCCTCTAAAAAACGCGTCTTGTCCACGACCAAACTTGGCTCCCAAATGTCCCCCTCCTCCTCCTCCTTCTCGCTCGCCACGAGCACGCCAACATATGGCACACCGCGGCGACGACGACGACGACGACGGCGACGACGACGACGACGACGACGACGACGACGACGGCGGCGACGAGGATGCTTCCCGAAGCGGCGGAGGCCAGCCGCTCGAGATCGTCCGACCAGGCTCAGGCACGACAACTCCGCAGGAACTCCATGCGAATCGCCCTGAAGCTGCTCCACGGGAGCTGCCCCAATCCCACCATCCTGCCGAACGCAACGCCTCCGAAAAAAAATGCCCGCGCCCAGAGTTCCGCAATGCAAACGACCACTCGGTTGGCCGACAGCGGTGCGACAATATGTAACCGCCGAAGTGACACCGCCGACCTCCACAGGAGGAAAGCACAACAAAATGTAATAAGTATAGTATAGCAGTCGAGCTCTCTCTCAGCTCCCCTCCCCGACCATAGGCATGACCGTATGCGAACGGACCCACAATTGCAAACGATGCATCCAAGTACGAAGACCACTGACTCCAACACCCTCGCACTACAAACAGAGTACCCCTAAACACGCCGAGGCAACCGCAGGCAAAGCCCGACCGAACCCTGGAACCTCCAGAAAACGGGGCTCCATTGGCGGACCGCGCCAAACCACCATCCGCGAGCCCCATGAGAGCAGACGATGGCGCCACAAACCACTGACAGCCGCAAACGTCGAACCAACTACACCGGACTGGTGCACCCACCACCGAAAACAACGTCCCCCCCCCATCAGCGCAGCATGGCTCACGGACGCGCAGCCAAACCCCAGCGATTACGCATTATGGGCCGGCGGAATGAGCGAAGCGATTAATTAAAACAAACCACCAAAAAACGAGCGTGCGCAGCGCTAAGGCGAGAACCACATTTTGAAAAGGAGCCGCCCTCTATCAGGGAAGCCTTGCAAATCTTGAAAACGACTACGCGCGGCGAAGAGACGAAGAGAGCACTTTGAATACGAGGCGCCCTCAATCCGCGAACCTCTTGCATGTGTAAACGAATGCGCGCGGCGCTAAGGCGAGAGTTACATGTTGAAAACGGCCCGCCCTCCATCTGCGGAGCTGCTGTCGCTTCTTAAACTTCAGGGTCATACATGGCGAGGAAGCCTCAAGCGAAACGCCCGGCCCGCCCTAAACCTGGCCTCGGGTGCGACAGGGAGAAAGTATGTATGAGGAAAAGAAGCGGAGGAGAAAGAGGAGGAGGCAGGGAGGAAGAGGAGGGAGGACGAGAAGGAGGGAGGGAGGAGGGAGGAGGAGGAGCAGGAGCAACAGGAAGCGTCTGAGGCTGGGCTGCGGTACAAGTCTTCTCCCTCTTGCCTCACTCTCCTCGACGAGCCAGGGGGGCGCTGAGGCAGCAGAGACGTCCTCTTCAGGAGGGCCGATGAACGAGTTGCCTTTCGTTCTTGATGCAATTCTCCCGCATGCGCACGCTCCAAGCTGCTCGAAAAACGAAACGAGGAGGGGGAGGAGGAGAAGGAGGAGGAGGACGACGACGACTACGACGACGGACGACGACGGCGACGGCGGCGACGGCGACGGCGGCGACGGCGACGAGAACGACGACGGCGGCGACGAGAACGGCGGCGGCGGCGGCGGCGACGACGACGGCGACGACGACGGCGTCGACGGCGACGACGACGGCGGCGGCGGCCCGCGCCAAGGGCCTTCGCCGCTCTCGCCGCTTCCCGCCTCCTGGCCTCGGCCTGCAGCCGGGCCCGGTTGGCGGCGCGCAGGCGGGCCTCCTGCGGCCGCGGGCGGTCCGCGGAGGCACGGGGTTTGCGCATGCGTGTACTTAGTGGGCCCTGGAAACGACAGGGTTGTTTTTGTTCACCTGTTGCGTTTTGCCGTTTCTTCGCCGGTTCTGGCGCCGTTTTTTGACCGGTTACTGGTTCTGGCTCCAGTTCCAATCCGATTTTTCCCCGCTTTCATTTTCCAGAGACACTTTGTTGGAAACCGTGAAAAAAAACGGCCTTGCCGTTTCCGGGGCCCACTGAGTGCGTGTGTGTGTGTGTGTGTGTACACGCTGGTCGGAGAAAAGAAAAGATGACAGAATGGAGCAGGAGAGTGGGTGGAGTACGTTTGCTTGGGTGCAGGCCCTCCGGGAGAATGGGCAAGACGCATCGGCACCATGCCGTCTCTCAAATCGGGAAGCGCTGGAGAAGTACGTAGACTGGGATCCAGGAGTCCACAAACACCCACTTTCAACGTCCGACGGACTTTGTATGCATGTGTGTGTGTGTGTGCGTGTGCGTGTGCGTGTGCGTGTGCGTGTGCGTGTGCGTGTGCGTGAGCGTGCGTGCGTGCGTGCGTGCGTGCGTGCGTGCGCGCGTGTGTGTGTGTGTGTGTGTGTGTGTGCGTGCGTGCGTGCGTGCGTGCGTGCGTGCGTGCGTGCGTGCGTGCGTGTGGTGTGTGTGTGTGTGTGTGTGGTGTGTGGTTGTGTGTGTGTGTGTGGTTTGTTTCTGTGTCTCTGGTCTGTGCGCACGTGTGGGTGTGTGGGTCCGTGTAGTTGCGTGTGTGCCTTTGCGTGTGTGCTTGTGCTTTTTGTCTCTACCCCCCGTCGCCGCGCGCACGGCCACGCCACAAAAATGTGTCTGTGTGTGCGCGTTTTTTCTAGTAGCCCTTTGGCTCAAGGCGGTCTGGCTCGAAGGGGGCCGCAACGGCCGCCGCCGCGGGCCGGAGGTCGGGGGGGGGGGGGGGCTGGGGAAGGGGTGCGGCGTCCCGGCCCTCCCCCCGCCTAGAGCGCCATGTCGGGCGCCCTTGCCTGCGGCTTGGGGCCCGCGGCCCGCCGCCGCCTGAAGCGCCGCGTTGCTGCCGCGCGCCGCTGCGCCGCAAACGCCGGCGGTGCCGCGAGAGGCGCCGGCGCCGCCGGCGCCGCCGGCGCCGCTGGCGTGGGACCGCCGCGCGCGCCGCCACGCCGCGGGCGCCGCTGCCGCACGGGTGCCGCGGCCTCCCTGCGCGCCGCGGGCGCAGACGGCGCGCCTCGCCGCAGGCACGCTGGCATCTGTGGCCGCACTGCCGCGGCCGCCGCGCTCGGCCCCCGCCGCCGCGCCCCTGCGGCGCCGCCGGGGCCGCGGCCGTGGCCGCTGCCGCCGAGGCGGCCGCTGCCTTCGGCGCTGCCAGCGGCGGCGGCGCGGGCGGCCTCCGTTGTGGAGGGTGGAGTGTATATCTGGGAATGCGCTGCGATGGAACAGTGCAAAAGTACACATGCCACATGAATGCGGATCTGCGGCTTCCAAGGTGCCAGCGCGGGCAGGTTGTCTACGGCACGGCGAGGTCGCCCGACCCGACTCCCCGGAGGTCGAGGCCAATGCGATCAGCTACCAGTGTCCGGATCCGCGAGGCTGGAAGCATACAGCAGCGGCAGCGGGCCGCACGCCGATCGCCGCGGCCGTTCGGTTAGTTTTTCGGCCCACCCCGCATGCCCTGTTTGGACACCCGCTGTCACTGCCCCGCCCGCCCGCCCCCCCGACGACGACGCTGGCGCTGCCCGCCAAAGCTCTGGGAGGTCTCCCTATACGCAGCGGCCAGCTCTGCCTCAGAAGCCGCCGCGCTCGGCGAAGACTACGACTCCGCCCGTCTGAAGAGCCCCAGCTCTCACTCCGAAGACGCCCCCTGCACCGCTCATCCTCGGAGCCTGCGCCCCCTATCCTAAGTCGCTGCGGTTCCCCTCTCCGAAGACATCGCCGACTTCGAGTGGCTGCTCTCGAGCCCACCTCTCGGCGCCTGCGCTTTCCCCCAGTTGTAGGCCCCGTCCGCCGGACGCTCCAGGCGGCTTCGGGTCTGGGGCGCTACGCCGCTGGTTGCTGAGCACGGGCCCCCCTCGCTGCGAGGGGCGGCGAAACCCCTGCGCGCTGGGCGCCTCGCGCCTACTCGCAGGGTCTGCTCCGCTCCTGCGGCGCGCTGCTTCTCCCGAGCGGTGTCCGCGCTTTCGGCGCGGCCCCGCCCCGCCCCTGCGGGGTTGCGCGCCTCCCCCTGCCTCTCGGCCCTCTGCTGGCGTTGGGCGTCGCTCACTGGAGGGCGATTAATGGAGGGGGGCGGGAAGGTGCGCGCACTTTTCGGACCCAAACGACCCCCCCCCGGCGGGGCCCCACAGGGCCCCTTCAGGGACCCCACAGGACCCCTCTTCTGCAGCCCTCGCAGTCCCCACCCACCCCCCTGGTCAAGGCCCCCCTTCATCCCCAGACCCCCGACGGCATTATTTTCGACAACATCAACTCGCGCAGCGATTTGGGGGGCAGGCGAATCTTCGGGAAGGCCTTTGTGGGCCTCTCGGCTGTCACGCCTTCTGGATTCCTGGCCTCTCACAGACTGGGCGCCTCTGAAGCGTGGCGGGGTATCTCACGGCTTTTCGCTGCAGCGCGGCAGGCGGGCTCTCGCGGCCGCGCGCTGCAATTGCAACGTAGCAGGTGGTTCTCGCAGCCGTGCGCTGCACAGCACCGGGCGGTTCTTTCTTCCTTCCCCCACGCTGGGGCCAGGGCCCTTGGTAATTGGCGTGCCGGGGCCCTTGCTGGCTCAGCTGCCGATTTGCGCCCTGCTTGGCTGGTTGGCCGGTTGGTTCCTGGGACGCTGGGTCGGCTCCGATTGTTTTTTTTTGTTTGTTTTTGTGTGTGTGTGTGTGTGTGTGTGTGAGTGTGTGTGTGTGTGTGTGTGTGTGTGTGTGTGTGTGTGTGTGTGTGTGTGTGTGTGTGTGTGTGTGTGTGTGTGTGTGTGTGTGTGTGTGTGTGTGTGTGTGTGTGTGTGTGTGTGTGTGTGTGTGTGTGTGTGTGTGTGTGTGTGTGTGTGTGTGTGTGTGTGTGGGGGGGGGGAGGCACTCTTGGCCGAACCAGTTCAGAGGTTCCAGGCCTCGGCCACGCTAGTTGCCCGAAAACGAACGCTGTCCGCGTTGGAGAGATGCGAGGTCGCAGGATCGCCACCTGAAGAGCGAGGAGGCAACCCTGTGGCCCACCAGCTAACCCCCCAGCGTCAGTCTGATCCAGAACCCTCGTCATAGCGAGGTATCGGGACCAGCGTCGCATCGTCCTCCTCGTCTCGGAGGGCCGACGACACGCACTGCAAAACATCAGAGGTGCTCGCAGCGGGCGCGGGACGTCTGACCTGTTCGTTGTCGGCTCTCCCCCCGAAGACAACAAGGGCGGTCTCCTCTTCTGCGTCAAAATCATCATGCATCGCTGGCTCCACTGGCGCTGGTCTCACTGGCCGCGCCACTGGAGCTTCTGCATACTCAGCCCCCCCCACCCACCGCCACCACCACCCCGCCCCGGACTCCATCCGCCCTCCCGTCTCTCGCTCGGCAATCCGAGCGCGGATGGCAGCCGGGCATTCGAGAGGCGCCGCAATCGTCGAGATCAGGTGCACCCGCGACGCGGCAGCAAAGGAACGACCTGTTGGGCCTGAGGCTGGCTTCTCTGGCGCGGCAAAGGACGCAGCTACATTGCATTGGGGGTGAACGCGCTTCAACCTACTCAAAGCACGGGCCCCTCAACTGTGCCCCTTCGGACCAAACTTCAGTGCCAAATTACTTGCGAGTAACTCCCGCAGATCATGCAAATACCAATGGCAACTTTCCATCACTAACCTGCGCGCTGTCTAGCTCATGTCCGTTGTCGGGGGCATCTGCAAGAAGCTCGGTTAAACTTAACTTGGGAGAGACCCTGGCGTCTGATTTCTGGCCGAGTCGCCCCCCCCCCCCTGAAAACTTAAACAATTGGCACGCCTGAGGCCCCGCAGCCAGCTCTCCCAATTGTGCCAGCTGGCGGCTTTCTCGGACACTTTACGCGGACGCTCGCGCCCCGGTGGGCGCTGGTGGTGCAGCCCCGGAAAGCGCGGCTTGACGTTCGCCGCGAGACGCGCCACCGTTTCGAGGCCCCCGATCGAATTGTCTAGCTGCTGCCACTCGGCGGCCGAAGCCTGGGGATGCAGGTCGAGAGCTCCCTTGGCCTCTCGATCCGCTCGCCAGTTGGCCTGGCCAATCCACCTCTCAGGCGGGGGCAGCTGCTCAATATCTCCTAGCTTCCTATGGGCTGGGGTGTGAGCAGCTGGGGCATACTCGTTATCCCGCATGCGGAGCAGGGCCCCTCTTCTCAAACGCCGATATAATTGTCCAGCTGACATCTCCCTTGACGGTTCCATGTTATGAAGCTTCACCGCATTCATACAATCGCTATACAGAGGAGGTCCATGGCTCGGGGCATAGAGCGGAAGTAACTCCAATTGCAAATGTTCAGCTGCTTGGCTAGATTGGGGCAGGCTCGGCCAGACAACACCTTTGGCTATGTATCTCTGCACCCCTTCCGAATCAAAGAAGATCCACGAATGAGCTGCTCTCGGCAATTCTCGAATATTGTGCCTCATGCGCGAGCTGCTCCTCCTCCTCCTCCTCCTCCTCCTCCTCCTCTTCCTCCTCCTCCTCCTCCGTTTCCTCCTCCTCCTCCTCCTCCTCATCATCATCATCATCATCATCATCATCCCCCCCCCTCCTCCTCCTCCTCCTCCTCCTCCTCCGCCTCCTCCGCCTCCTCCTCCTCCTCCTCCTCGTCCTCCTCCTCCTCCTCCTCCTGACTCTCCTATCTATGGTAGCGGTGGTGGAGAATGGACCAGCGCCGACTGCTTTAGCAGTGGGCTCACCTTGTGCGCCGCTTCCGCGCCAGAGCACACCTTAGCCGCAGACGCGCTGTCGGCCCTTCGGGTCCTCGACGTCAGTCTTGGCTGCCCCAAGAATCACGACAAGCTGGTTCGGCCCAAAAATCCACCGATAATGGAAGAGGATGGGAGGAGGGGCACAGTGAACCCGCCTAATAAAGACGAAAGATAAGGATGCAAGGGCCTTGGAAGGCCATGCCGACTCTTTGCGAGCGGAGCGCGGACAGCGAAAGCGGCAAAGGATCGGCCGGACGGGGAAGGACGCAACGGCCACCTTGGAGAGCTACCCATCCTTACTAGATGCGGGTCGACTGTAGGGGGGGTCAGGAGGAGGACGACGAGGACGAAGAGCCCAGACCCCCGACGTCATGATTCTTTCATAACGTCGACCATTGCAGGTCTCGACCCCTTCCCCGGGACCGACATCTCATCCCGCGTCGTCTTTGTTGGACGGTCCCGAGGCCCGGCGAGGGCCTCCCGAGGCCGAAACTGCGGCAAAAAGCCTCCCGTCGTGATATCTGTCAGTACCAGAAAGGGGTCACGGGAGGACAGCGATCGACCGCTCCTGGTCCGCCAGCTTCGCCTCCACGATGATTATGAAGAAGAAGATGATGCTGCTGCTGATGATGATCATTGTGAAGATGCTGCTGCTGCTGCTGCAACTGGTGCTACTGCTGCTGCTGCTGATGATGATGATGATAATGACGATGATCATGATGATGGTGATGATGATGATGAGGAGGAGGAGGATTATCATGCTAATGATGATGATTACGATGACGATGACGACGACGATGACGATGACGATGCAGATGATGATGATGATGATGATGATGATGATGATGATGATGATGATGATGATGATGATGGTGATGATGATGGTGATGGTGATGATGGTGATGATGATGATGATGGTGATGATGCTGCTGCTGCTGCTGATGATGATGATGATGATGAGGATGAGGATGGTGAACAGCGATCGACCGCTCCTGGTCCGCCAGTTTCGCCTCCTCGATGTCCAGCGCCGCCTCCCACGCCTGGCGCCCGCCGCGGGGGTCGCGGCGGGTGGCCAGCGGCGCCCGCGACGCCGCTGCTCGCGCGAGGCCGCGAGGGCCACGGCACCGAGCGCATGCACACGGCAGGCGCGGCCGGCTCGCTCTCCCCGAGGGGAGGGGTGGGCGGGGCCCCTCGTATCGGAGACGACGTACAGTCGGGCTTGATTGGAGAGGGCACGCGAAAGGACACGAGGCCCTTTCGAGGGCGAACGAAGTGAACCCCACCCTCCCCCTCAGAAATCGTGGGGTGTAGGGGTAGGGTTCGCATGTGGCCCCCTACATATCGCCACAGGAATGTACGAAGCGTGGGTCGCGAGTCTGGCAGGGTCGACCTGCTAATCCGGACCGCCTGTATACTGCCCCGGGTCAGTGCAAGCCCAGGACCCTCCTCCTCCTCCTCCTCCTCCTCCTCCTCCTCCTCCTCCTCCTCCTCCTCCTCCTCCCCCTCCCCCTCCTCCACCTCCTCCTCCTCCTCCTCATCCTCCTCCTCCCTCGGTGAAGCACCCTGAGACGGGCGCGAAACGTGTGAGGGGTGTGCCTAAATGGGCGCGGGGACGCCATGCGGACGCAGCCGCTGGGGGATCCCTATCCTGCCCGCAGAAGTCACGCATTCGACAGCTGGGCATCTCAAGGCCCATCGACCCTCGGCGGCCCTCTGTCGGAAGCCGGGCGGCTGCGCTCACCAGGGCGAGACGTGGACCTCTGCTGCACTTTCGGGGGCCCTTGTCGATCCCGAACCTGCCCCGAACGCATCCCTATCCCAAGAATTCGCAAGCCAGAACGCGATGACAGTCTGAGGGATGCGGCCTCAGAAACTTGGGAAATTCCCCAGATCGAGAGAAGCCCGTGCCAAGCATCGGGACAGGGACAGATGTCTTCGGCTGGTATGATATGAGTCCCATCGCGGCGCTGCTCGCGGCCAGTCCGCGCGCCGGGCCCGCACCGAATCCACGTCGAGCCCGCCCCGCATCCGCGCAGCATCCGCGCGGGACGCCAGAAGTGCGGGGTGGCTCGGGGTTCTGTCGCGCCTTTTGGGCGGCGAGGCGGCCGTGCACACAGCCGTGCAGGCAACCCCGCGCGGGTCCTGCCTGCCTCTGCAGGCCAGAGTGCTGCACGACCGGCCGTGGCTCCGAGGCCGAAGGACGTCTGCAGCCAGGCAAGCACCCCACGGACCCCCGGCGTCATGATTTTCTCATAGCATGCGTCGACCCGCAGGGGTCTCGACCCAATCCCCTGGTTGCTTGTGCTTCATCCCGAGCTGTTTCTCTGGACGGTCCCGAAGGCCGGTGAGGGCCTCTAAAGGCTGCGAATGCGGACAAACACCTCCCGTCATGTCCTTTTTCCGTGTCCGAGGGGGTCTGGGCCCAGCGGGGGTGTCCGATGCCCCCGCGACGAATGGGCCCGCAAAAGCACCCTGGATCTAGTCATAATGGGGCAGAGGTAACGGAAAGAGCAAGGTACGAATGATGGCGTTGTGTTTGGGAGAAGCCCTCTAGGGAGAGGTCCAGGGGAGGGGGGAGGGCCGAAGGGATGCGGTCTAATGGCCGCTCGGGGCGTCTTGGAGGCCTTCTGGGCGCTCCTTGGGCCGTCTTGGGCGCTCAAGACGGTCCAGGAGGGGTCCAAGACGGCCCAAGAGACCTCCAAGACGGCCCAAGAGCGCTACAAGAGAGCCCATGACCGCAAAAGACGGCCCAAGAGGCCTCCAAGACGCCCCAAGAGGCGCCCAAGGGGCGCCCCAAGAGGACCGCAAGAAGCCAAAATCCTTGATTTTCCTTGAGGTAACGTGCATTTTAAGCATACGCGACTCTTCGGCCTCCACGGCGCCGATGACGGCCAAAGAGGCTCCCCAAACCGCTCCAGGACTGCCCAAGAGGCTCCCAAGGGGCCCAAGGGGCCCCACGACGGCCCAAGAGGCGCCCAAGACGGCCCAAGAGGGCCCCAAGACGGCCCCAGGAGGGGGGAACCACGAACCGAAAAGTCGAACCTTTCGCTTCAAGAAGCTCCCAGGAGGCCCCAAGAGGCCCCCCAAGAGGCCCAAGGAAGCCAAAATCATTGATTTCCTGTAGGGAAACACGCGGCTTTTCGGCCTTCACGGCGTTGACGACGGCCCAAGAGGCGCCCCCAAACCGCCCCAAGGCGGAGGCTCCCAAGAGGCCCAAAAAACGGCCCAAGAGGGCCCCAAGACGGCCCAAGAGGCGCCCAAGACGGCCCAAGAGAGCCCCAAGACGGCCCCAAGAGGGGGACCACGAACCGAAAAGTGTAGCCTTTCGCCCCAAGACGCTCCCAGGAGGCCCCAAGAGCCGCCCAAGAAACCCCAAGAGGCTCCCAAGAGGCGTCCCAAGAGGCCACCAGGAGGCCAAAATCATTGATGTCCGATAGGGAAACATCTTATTTTAGCATCCGCGGCTTTTCGGCTTTCACGGCGTTGAAAACGGCCCAAGAAGCCCCCAAAACCGCCCCCAGACGGCCCAAGAGGCTCCCACGAGGCCCCCAAAACGGCCCGAGAGGGCCCCAATACGGGACAAGAGGCGCCCAAGACGGCACAAGAGGGCCCCAAGACGGCCCCAAGAGGGGGACCACGAACCGAAACGTCGAACCTTTCGCATCAAGAAGCTCCCAGGAGGCCCCAAGAGGCCACCAAGAGACCCCCCAAGAGGCCCCAGGAAACCAAAATCATTGATTACCCATGGAAAACAAACCATTTTAGCATGTACGGCTGTTCGGCTTTCACGGCATTGACGACTGCCCAAGAGGCCCCCCCAAACCGCCCCAAGACGGCCCAAGATGCTCCCAAGAGGCCCCCAAAACGCCCAAGAGGGCCCCAAGACGGCCCAAGAGGCGCCCAAGACGGCCCAAGAGAGCCCCAAGACGGCCCCAAGAGGGGGACGACGAACCGAAAAGTCTAGCCTTTCGCCCCAAGAAGCTCCCAGGAGAATAGTATGGTTGTCGGATACCCTCCTCGCTCAGGCGGGGCCTCCCTGGAAGGGTGGGAGGGGCACGAAACCATGTACATAGTATGGTTTTCCGATACCCTCCTCGCTCAGGCGGGGCCTCCCTGGAGGGGTGGGAGGGGCACGAAACCATATAAATAGTGTGGTTTTCCGATACCCTCCTCGCTCAGGCGGGGCCTCCCTGGAGGGGTGGGAGGGGCACGAAACCATGTAACTAGTATGGTTTTCCGATACCCTCCTCGCTCAGGCGGGGCCTCCCTGGAGGTGTGGGGCCCCAAGAACCCCCCAAGAAGCCCCAAAAGGCCCCCAAGAGGCCCCCAAGAGGCCCCCAAAAGGCCCCCAAGAGGCCCCCAATAGGACTGCCAAGAAGGGCCAGAGACGCCAAATAGAGAGCGATCGGTAACGCAATTATCCCGGCAAAGCAACCTAACAGCGATGTGTAGGAGCATATCTGGAAGCATCCCCCTTAAGATTCAGATGAGAATCCAGTTGTAGAGTTCTGCTGTTCTCGCAGTCGTAGTCGCATTCGCGATGACAGTCGCAGTGGCCTGCATTAGCCTCAGCCTCAGCCTCAGCCTGTCAGCCTCAGCCTCAGCCTGCCTCAGCCTCAGCCTCAGCCTGCTCCTGCATCAGCCTCAGTCTGCCTGCAGCCTCGGCCTCAGCCTCAGCCTCAGCCTCAGCCTGCCTCAGCCTCAGCCTCAGCCTGCCTCAGCATCAGCCTCAGCCTCAGCCTCAGCCTCAGCCTCAGCCTCAGCCTTAGCCTCAGCTCAGCCTGCAGCCTCAGCCTTCAGCCTCGGGCTCAGCCTCGGCCTGCCTCAGCCTCAGCCTCAGCCTCAGCCTCAGCCTCAGCCTGCCTCAGCCTCAGCCTGCCTCAGCCTCAGCCTCAGCCTGCTTCAGCCTCAGCTCAGTCTGCCTTCAGCCTCGGCCTCAGCCTCAGCCTGCCTCAGCCTCAGCCTGCATCAGCCTCAGCCTCAGCCTCAGCCTGCCTCAGCATCAGCCTGCCTCAGCCTCAGCCTCAGCCTGCCTCAGCCTCAGCCTCAGCCTGCTTCAGCCTCAGCCTCAGTCTGCCTTCAGCCTCGGCCTCAGCCTCAGCCTGCCTCAGCCTCAGCCTGCATCAGCCTCAGCCTCAGCCTCAGCCTGCCTCAGCATCAGCCTGCCTCAGCCTCAGCCTCAGCCTGCCTCAGCCTCAGCCTCAGCCTGCTTCAGCCTCAGCCTCAGTCTGCCTTCAGCCTCGGCCTCAGCCTCAGCCTGCCTCAGCCTCAGCCTGCATCAGCCTCAGCCTCAGCCTCAGCCTCAGCCTCAGCCTGCCTCAGCCTCAGCCTGCCTCAGCCTCAGCCTCAGCCTGCTTCAGCCTCAGCCTCAGTCTGCCTTCAGCCTCGGCCTCAGCCTCAGCCTGCCTCAGCCTCAGCCTGCATCAGCCTCAGCCTCAGCCTCAGCCTGCCTCAGCATCAGCCTGCCTCAGCCTCAGCCTCAGCCTGCCTCAGCCTCAGCCTCAGCCTGCTTCAGCCTCAGCCTCAGTCTGCCTTCAGCCTCGGCCTCAGCCTCAGGCTGCCTCAGCCTCGGCCTGCATCAGCCTCAGCCTCAGCCTCAGCCTGCCTCAGCATCAGCCTGCCTCAGCCGCAGCCTCAGCCTGCCTCTGCCTCAGCCTCAGCCTCAATCTGCCTTCAGCCTCGGCTTCAGTCTCAGCCTGCCTCTGCCTCAGCCTGCATCAGCCTCAGCCTCAGCCTGCCTCAGCCTCAGCCTCAGCCTCAGCCTCAGCCTCAGCCTCAGCCTCAGCCTGCTTCAGCCTCAGCCTCAGTCTGCCTTCAGCCTCGGCCTCAGCCTCAGCCTGCCTCAGCCTCAGCCTGCATCAGCCTCAGCCTCAGCCTCAGCCTCCTCAGCCTGCCTCAGCCTCAGCCTCAGCCTGCCTCAGCCTCAGCCTCAGCCTCAGCCTCAGCCTGCTTCAGCCTCAGCCTCAGTCTGCCTTCAGCCTCGGCCTCAGCCTCAGCCTGCCTCAGCCTCAGCCTGCATCAGCCTCAGCCTCAGCCTCAGCCTGCCTCAGCCTGCATCAGCCTCAGCCTGAGTCTGCCTTCAGCTTCGGCCTCAGCCTCAGCCTGCCTCAGCCTGCCTCAGCCTCAGCATCAGCCTGCCTCAGCATTCAAAATGTGGCCAGGGAATGGATTCTGGGAACTCGAAGAACACGAAGTGGCCTACAGTTGGCTCCGGGCATTCAAAATCATACCCAGGAATGGAGTTCTGGGAACTCGAAGAGCACGAAGTGGCCTACAGTTGGCTCCGGGCATTCAAAATGTGGCCCGGGAATGGAGTTCTGGGAACTCGAAGAGCACGAAGTGGCCTACAGTTGGCTCCGGGCATCCAAAATGTGGCCCGGGAATGGAGTTCTGGGAACTCGAAGAGCACGAAGTGTGTGACTGTTGCATCCGGCCCTCCAGAATGTGGCCCGGGAATGGAGTTCTGGGAACTCGAAGAGCACGAAGTGTGTGACTGTTGCATCCGGTTATTCTAAAGGTGGCCCGGGAATGGCGTTCTGGGATCTCGAAGAGCACGAAGTGTGTGACTGTTGCATCCGGTTATTCAGAATGAGCCTGGGAATGGAGTTCTGGGAACTCGAAGAGCACGAAGTGTGTGACTGTTCGTGAAAAACGAGGTGGACACAACCCGCCCGGCAACTCCCAACACCTGCCCGGACCCCCCTGTGGAGTGATCTGTGAGCTCTTTTGACCCCACTAGAAACCTATCAGTCTTCGCTGTTAGGTAAAAAGCTCTTCACACCAAGGCTCCCGAGACCGAACGGTGACGTAAACAAGCTGATAAGACCAAGGCTCCCAGCAGTGACGTAAGAAGTTCCTGACACCAAGGCCCAGCCAAGGCTCAGGAACGGGCGGCAACGCAATAATCTCTGAACACCAAGGCTCCCAAGAGCGAGGGGTGGCGTAACAAGCTCTCAACGCCAAAGCTCCCAGTACGAACGGTGGTGTGAGTAATTTCGGCTTCTGTTTCTGAAGCGCTCTTTCCGTGTCTGTGCCAGCCCAAATCTAACGGGACTCGTCAAGCAAGAACGGAAAAGAGCGGGGTACGAGCGAATGACGTTGTAGTGTGGGGCGAAGCCCTTTAGGTGGGAGTGCAGAGGGGGGAGAGGGGAATAGAACCCATCACAACCACTTCGGACTGTTCAGGAACTACTTCGGTCGGAATGCAACCACTGGAAACGGACTGATCGCAACCTAAAGTATTCCTATAATAACCTGTCAGGAGAACACCGGATTGCAACCGATCCAAGAGCTCTGGCTGAGGCCTCTGAAAGGCTTCTCTGAGGCCTCTGCGAGGCTTGTGGGAGGCCTCTGAAAAGGCTTGTGGGAGGCCTCTGAAAAGGCTCCCGGTACGAACGGTGGTGTGAGTAATTCTGGTTTCTGTTTCTGAAGCGCTCTTTCCGTTTCTGTGCCGGGCCCAGCTCTAACGGGCCTCGTCAAGCAAGATTGCCAAAGGAGTCTCGACGCTGAACCCGTTGTTGCACCGCTTTTTTTTGCGGGGGGGTCCCAGACGCGCTGACAGGCACTCGTTTTGCCCCCCCCCCCCCCCCCCCCCCCCCACACACACGGCCCGCTCCTGCCCGCACAAGAGAACGAGGGCAACAGCTTCCGAGGAGGGGGAGGAGGATGAGGCGGAGGAGGAGGAGGGGGAGGAGGAGGGGGAGGAGGAGGAAGAGGAGGAGGAGGAGGAGAAGGAAGAGGAGGAGGAGGAGGAGGGGGAGGAGGGGGAGGAGGAGGCCCCGCTACTGCGAGATCTGGAGCGGAGAGGGCTCGTTCGCGCTCGCAGCAGCAGGAGAAACGCAAGCCCCCTGGCCCCCCCCCGGCGCGGAGAACAGCAGGGTCAGGTCGGATATGTCACCCTACAGGCGGACGTTGGACGAAAACTCCAACATACCGACAAATAAATGCAAGCATAATCTCAAAAAAAGGTCCCCGGAGCATCGTGCTGTCACCCTGTTTGAACCTCCCTCCTGCAGAGGGACGCGCCCGACTTCACAGAGTGGCCGAGGCCTCGTAGCCCTCGAACTCGGAGTTGCGCAGCCTGGCCCGCAGCAGCTGCGCCGCCTGCCGCGCCCGGCACAGCATGGATACCAAAAACGGGACGTCGTCGTGCTTCTCCTCCTCGCTCTCCATTGCTCCCAGACACCCTCGCATATCCAAAAAAATCATGGCGGGAGGTTTTTCTCTATTTTCGGCCTCTGGAGGCCCTCAGCGGCCCTCGGGACCTTCCAGAAACGACTCAGGGTGAAAACCCGATCCAGGGGAATGGGTCGAGATCTCTGAGGGTCAACGCTATGAAAAAACATGACGTCGGGGGGCTGGGCTGCTCCTTCTGGACAACTCCACCCTGTCGCACCCTGAGACGTGTCGGTAGTGCGCGATGCACTTTCGTTTCGAAAGTTTGCAGCTGTTTCACAGATGCAGGGAAGGTGGTTTTCAAAATCGCACCTTCGTCTTGAAAAGTTCGCAGCAGTTACAGGGATTGGGGGGCGCCTCTTTCTCAAAATGTGGCTCTCGCCTCCGCGCCGCGCACATTCGTCTTGAAGATCCGTAACAGTTTCACGCATGGAGGGGGGGGGATCGTTTTCAAAATGTGGCCCTCGCCTTGGCGTCGCGTGCATTGGTCCTAAAGCTTACATCAATTCCGATGATGTCAAAATAGGGCTCTCGACTCCGCGCCGCGCACATTCGTTTGAAACAGTTGCAGCAAGTTCACGGATGGAAAGGAGCGTTTTCAAAGTGTGGCTCTCGCTTTAGTACCGCGGACCTTCGTCTTAAGCAAATGCAATCGTTTTACGGATGGAGGTGGGGTCCAAATGTTGGCCTCGCCTCCACGCCGCGCACATTCGATTTCAATGTGTGCTGCAGTTTCACTGATGAAAAGGGACGTGGTTCTTCAAAGCGTGCCTCTCGCTTGAGCGCCGCGCAAATTCGTCTAAAATGGTTACAGCAGCTTCACGGATGGAAGGGGGGGGTCGTTTTCAAAGTGGGGTTCTCGCAGTAGCGCCCTGGACAATCATGCCAAACAAAGTCCAGGACTTCTCGCCTGAGACTTCGCTACGCTGGACTACCCGAGGCTTCAGTGCACGCAGCGCTTCACAGATCCATGAGTGCGGTTGTGAAGATGGAGCTGTCGCTTAAGACACCCTCGGATTTCATGGCCAAAAGCGTAAAGTTCGGCAACACGTGCACAGATGGAGTGGAGCGGTCCCTCCTCGCACAGGGGATCTCGCTGGACACCTTGCTGAACCGGATGATCATTGACTTTCGCATTCCTGGTTACGCGCCACTCGGAGTAAAGGCAATTCGTTAAGCGAGGTCTTGCCAACACGGCAGGCCCAATGCGCTGGTCTTTCAAGGGGGAGTGCTCCTTGCAATGAGAAAGAGGCCCTGCTTGAGCGTATGAGGAAAGGATTTGTGACGGGAGGGTGTATAGCACCATCGTTTGAAACACATTCGGTTTACTCTGGTACTCCTCCTGATCTTCCAGCTCCTTGTCCTCCTGCGCTCTTGCTCCCAATCCTCGTTATCCTCCTCCCTCGTCCTCATCCATCTTCCTCCGCCTGGTTACTAGTTCTTGGCGGCTTCAGATCCCATCGGGTGCAGCCTCCCCCCACCCAGTGCCGCTCGGCCCTGGGGGTTTGATCAAACTACATCGCCAGGTGACACGCTGGCTGTTGCGACGAAGAAATGAATCAAGGTAATCCGGTCAGACAAGACAGACAGTGGGGAGGGAAGGAGGAGGAGAGGATCCTCCACCTCCTCCTCCTCCTCCTCCTACTCCTCCTCCAACTCCTCCTCCTCCTCGTCCCCCCTCCTGCTGCTCCACCACGTCGTCCGCCTCCTCCTCCTCCTCCTCATCCTCCTTGCCTCTCCTCCTCGTCCTGCTCTGTCTCCTTCACGTCCTCCTCCGCCACCTCCTACACCATGATCTTTGGCTTCGGTTCGCGCAACAGTGATGCCCACACGCGCGCATTCGCTCACTGATGCTTGACGATAACAGCGTGCACAGGGATCTGAGCATCTAGAGAGACCCCATTCTAACGCCCGAAGTTCTGCAGCGACCACACAAAAAACATCATTCCTGAGGAAGGTCCCCCGCGATAGACAGCAGCTCCTGTATGCGGAACAACACACTCACGTGGGGAAAAAGCACACACACAGCACACACACACACGAACACAAACACAAACACGAACACACACACACACACACACACACACACACACACACACACGAACACACACACACACACACACACGAACACAAACATACACACACGCACACACATACGCACAAAAACACGCAGTGGAAAACACACACAGCTTGTATGCTTTACGTTCCACAGGGTGCGTTTTCTTCCACATTGCCCTCCAGGCGTTATCCCCGGGCCAAGCGTGGCCTCCGAGCCCCAGGCCTCCGCCTGCCCGGGGCGGCGCCGGCGCCCAAAGAGCTCTCGCCTCGCGTGCCGCGGCGGCGGCCCTCGGCGAGGCGCCGCGCCTCGCGGGCGCGTGCCGCTCCGCTCGCGGCGGGGGCGGGGCGCGGTCGGCGCCGGGAGGCTGGCGCGCGGTGGGCGTGTGCCGAGCAGAGAGGCGCCTCGCGCGCGCGCTGTCCGCCCCGTGCCCGCCCAAAGGGGGCCGGGCGCCTTCTGCCCCCGCATCGCGTCGGCCATCTCCGCCGCCGCGCCGGACGGCGGCTCGTCGGCCTCGGCGGCAGGCAAGGCCTGCGGCGGGGGGTGGGCGAGGGGGGGGGAGGAGAGGAGAGGGGCGGAAGAGAGACTGGCGCAGGAGGCTGGGCGGGGAGGGAGGATGGGAGGGAGGGGGGGATGGGTGGGAGGAGGGGGAGAAGGAGGGACGGAGGGACGAAGGAGACGGAGAGGGGAGTCTCACGGGAGGAAGAGAAGGAGGGGAGGGTCGCATCCTGGAGTTCCTCCCCAATCAGATTCCCACTCCTTCTCCTCCTCCGCCTCCTCCTCCTCATCCTCCTTCTTTGAAGATCGTATAACAGTTCAAGGATTATCATGGCTAACATCCCCAACATAGCGTTTTGGCACGATGTCGGACTGTCAGGGCGCAACAGTTACGTTGACTCATGGTGCTGAAGTCCCAGACCTGGACTGCTGGCACGCAAGACGCAAGATTGACGGTGATTCGCGGCGTGAAAGTCCCAGGAATTGCATCCTGGCACAGTTCAGGATGTTCATATTGTTGTCTTCAAGAGTTAATCCATGTAGGGACCTGTGACGAGGGACCGTGGAGGGAGGGCTGGTTGCAATATCGTTGATGAGTCTTGGGTTGCAGGGGGCCTTCTCCTCATCCTCCTCCTCCTTTTCCCACTCCTCCCCCCCGCTCCCCCATCCGCGGCCCATTGTTGGCTCAGGCCACGTCGGCCCACGAGCCGCCGCCGCGCCGCCCGCCAACCTTGGCGCCAGCAGGGACTGCAAGACGGCGGGAGGCCCAGCACACCACCACAGCCCCTGCGCGGCGCGGCGGCGCGGAGGGCCCGCTGCCCAACGGGCGCGCGCCGGTGCGCAAGCCACGGTACGCGGGCGGTGTTAGAGGCCTCCTAGATGGGGTCTGAGTTAGATGGGGTTGGAGGATCGCGCCGCATCGCAGATGCGTCGGCGACGTCGATGTGAAGCAGATCGGGCCCCACGTAGAGCCGCATCAGCGATGCATCGGCGATGCGTCGCGATCCTCCGACCCCATCTACTCCGACAAAAAATTGCCAAGACCCCAGACGTCATGATTTTGTCATAAAGTCGACCCTCAAGGGTCTCGACACGTTCCCCGGGACCAAGTTTTCATCCGGAATTGTGTTCTGACGGTCCCGGGGCCCCGTAAGGGCCTCCCGAGGCCGACTGCAAGGAAAAACCTCCTGTCATGATTGTTTCATCACCCGACGGGGGTCTGGGTGGGAGCCCTATAGAAAAGGTGGTGCCGCGCGGCGCCGCGACCGCCGCGCGCTCCCGGGCTCCCCGGGCCCGCGAGGGGGGCGCCCCGTGCTGCAGCGCGAGCACCGCGCGCGCGGCGGGCGCCACCTCCGCCGCGAAGCGGCCGACCCTGCAGCCTTCTGGTTGACCCAAACAGGGGGGGGGGGCGCAGTAGGTTCGGGGCAATTGGGCTGCGAATGTATGGCGCCTGGGAAATGTCTTGCGTTGTAGTGTAGCTACCTTCGCGTGTTGCACGCGACAGCACAGCGATACACTTGCGCACCAGAACGTGCTGCACGCCCCAACTCGGATGCAACCCCACAGATCCAGTGCACCAAACCTGTTCCACTACCCTCTTGTCGCTGGACCCCCTTTCCCAGACATGCGACGTCCTGACTTTTTCAGGACGGCGTCCCTGAAGCCCCGACCCTTTCCCGGGGACCGGTTTTTCGTCCTGAGTCGTTCTTTGACTGTCCCGAGGCCCGGCGAGGGCCCCCCGGGGCCGAGAATTGCCAAAAGCCTCCCGCCCTGATTTCTTTACGCTGCGATCATGTCTGGGCTTGGGTCCCCCAGAACAGCCTCCCAGAGGTCGGGCGCTCCAGGGCCCAGACCCCCGACGTCATGATTGTTTCACTGCGTCGACCCTCGGAGGTCTCGACCCCTTCCCCGGGGCTGGTCTTTCGTCCTGAGTCGTTTTTAAACGGTCCCGAGGCCCGGCGAGGGCCCCCAGAGGCCGAAAATATGGAAAAACCTACCGCCATGATTTGTTTCACTGCTCGGGCCGAGCGAGGGGGGTTTGAGAATCAGCTCGCGTAGCTGATTTTTCCGGCGCCTCCCAGCGCCGGAGGCGCCCATGTATCGAGGCATGGGCCCCTCGGTGGGGCCGAAACCAGCTGCATGCAGCAGATTTCGTAACCCCCCCCTTCCTAGTCCCCCCCTTTCGTTCGGCTCGAATTGCCCGAGGGGGCCTCTGGGAGCCAAGCTCGGCCAAGAGGCCCTGCAGAGCCTCCCAAGGACCCCGGGCGCTCCATAGCACCAGTCTTGGAGCGGGCGACTGCACTGGCCGCTTGCGGCCACCCCAAATTATTACCTCCTCCTCCCCCCTCCTCCTCCTCCTCCTCCTCCTCCTCCTCCTCCTCCCTCCTCCTCCTCCTCCTCCTCCGCCTCCTCCTCCTCCTCCTCCTCCTCCTCCTCCTCCTCCTCCTCCTCGTCCTCCTCCTCCTCCTCCTCCTCCTCCTCCCCGCGTGCGGCTTCGCCAAAGTACCCCCCTCGGGCAAGGCACAAATCAGGACGGCAGCTTTTCCTTCGTCCTCTCGGCCTCGGGAGACCCTCGCCAGGCCTCGGGGCCGTCAGGAAACGGCTCGGGAGGAAGAGCCGGTGCAAGGACATGGGTCGAGACCTCTGAGAATCCACGTTTTGACAAACTCACGACGTCGGGGGTCTGGGTCGGGGGGGGGGCCCAGGCATCGAAACAATTGGAGCAGCCGGATGCCTGGGGGTCTTAAGGGCTTATAGGTGCTCCGAGGGGGGCGGAGGAGGGCTACAGCAAGCAGGCGTCGAAACAATTGGAGCAGCTGGATGCCTGGGGGTCTTGAGGGCTTAGGTGCTCCGAGGGGGGCGGAGGAGGCGAGGCTAGGCAAGGCGAGGGAGGCGAGGGCGCCAGAGTCGGGCACACAGGTGTGCCCGTGCCCTTTTGGGCAGGGCGCAAGAGGCCGTGGCCTCAGATCGTGTCCGAATGGACGTCGCGG